ACCATTGGCGTCGGTGTGCTACTCTAGCCGGAGGAGCATGCACATCTGAAACTCATCGCTTTCTCTTGCACTTCCCGGGTTTGAACAACATTTGGTGTATCTGACTGTGTCAGGATTTGAATCGAAGTGGGCCCGTTGACCCCTCGCCTCAAGTACTTCAAATCAGACAGCGGTATAATGTACTGTCCAGGCCCACAACCCATATGATAATTGCCATGTAGATAGCTCTCGTAGTTTCTCCTATTTCAGTCAATGGTGCCTCGTCTTACTTTTGCTTTGTTACCATCCCAAACCTACAGCAGAATCTCACAATTTCAGCCCATCCTGATACCTCACTTGACTTTAAAAGACCAAAAACAAGAGCATGTTGCTTCTACCGATATTTGCCATAGTTGAGTGTCTCTTTTTAGAATTAAAAGTTAATCAAACGGGAATCTGAGTCATGTCTTGTTCATTTGATAGTTCGTTATTGGGATTAAACCCAATCTCTCAGCACCCATGGCAAATTCTGAATTGATTGTTGACACAGCGGGAGAAGAAGGCTTGCGAGCTCGATCGGGTCAACACCTTACTACCAACCATTTTGGTGCGCCAGATGAGACTGACAACAAACTGAAGGCAAATGATATAGCGGTCGGAGCTTTCGGAAATCCTAGACATAGAGACTTTACCGAGGCATTAGATCTCGATTATGATATAGTCGATCATCCCACTACCTCAAAAACTGAGATGGTCGATCATCCCACTACCTCAAACACTGAGATAATCGAGCATCCCACTACCTCACAAACTGAGGTCGATCATCCCACTACCTCAAAAACTGAAGAAAGTAAATCAGAAATTGATTCAGAAACTCCACTCGAGACGCAAGCCATATCTGAAAGCGATGAATCCCATTCCAGGATTGATTTTCAAGATCTTAATCTTCTTGCTCAAATCGTAGTTCTCATAATAACAGCGTTTGTAGGGCTACTTAAAAAACCAAATCATCCAATTCCTAGGTTTATACTCTTATATATCTTTGTTCTGCGTCCGATACTGGATCGTATGGGGTTGTTGTGAAGCAAAAATTTGTTAAGGAGATAAAATCAACTTTCATCGCCAAGGGGTGAAGACCACACTGCCTTTCAATTTCATAGTTGTTTATTTTACTGAATTGAATTCTTCTCAGTATCTTCAATCATCTACATATAACTAAGCAAATAGGAGGAACCAGGCAGCCTCCTATATATGTGCCTAACTGAAATTCCAAGACTATACTGAAGTTCCTGCATTTATGGGAAGCCATTCATGCACATTCTATGCCTAGGGCACTCTGTGGATTTCAATCTTCCTAACTGTCTGGCCACCTAAAACTGGAATTTTGAGTTTTCTTTTGATGCCAAAATTCAATTTCCTCACTTGTTCTCATTTCTAGGGAGGCAGTGGTGTGCCAACTGAGCCAAAAAGAAACAAATTTTGATGCCCCGGGAGTGCCAAATGAGCCAAAAAAATCAAAAACTATATTTTTACAGCCATTTTTTGTAATAATGATGCCCTTGACCTGTGCATACTGGCCAAAATGTATTCAATTTCACAGGGTTGCCAAAATTTTAATATTCATATGTCTCACCTCTCTCTTTTTCTTTTTCTGATTAGGGGGGTTCATGATAGCCTTTTTGGCTTACGGTCTCACAATTTTCTTCTTATTTCTGGTCAAATTTTATGCTTAGATTTTATGCTAAAAAGCTGCCGCAAACAACCACCAACATCCATAAAACTTTTTGGGGAAGCCTATGTATCTGATTTGGCCTCACACATCCTGCCTCATCTGTGCCAGCTCCTGAATATACACATCACCCCCCTCAACCGTATCACCCCCCTTGGCAAACCCCTCTCAACAGTAAGTAACACAACCACATCTTCCTTGCAGCAGGGCCTATTCCGCTTGAAAATTTCTTGGCTGAAACGACACAATCCTTCCAACATATAGTTTCACAATTCAACCATGTCCATCAGTCAGGTATGCCAATCTCAGTCGTGGGACTTCAATTGTGATGTTATGAATTTGGGCTCTGCTGCTGGCTCACTTTCAACTCATTCTCTTCTTCAGCTTGATCCTAGTTTGATGGAATTGACCCCATTGGCTGAAATTTTGGCCCAATCCCCAAGCAGTGGGCCAAATGTCTCTCATCTCAACCTTGGGACCAATTTGTTGCCCAAGGCTGCAGACCAGAACGACTCTCCAAAAAATACTCAAGGTGTTCCAATTAAGAAGGGTCCCCAACCACAACAAACCAAAGATAAGAAGATCTTGTACCATGCTGAACAGGAGCAAATCAAGAAGGAAAAAGCTGTCAGTCTATGTGATGCCAAGACAAGTGTCCTCTAGCTACACAAGGTGCAAAATATAAGAGTTTTTATGGAAAAAACTCTGGGATAAAACTGGTACAAGTAATTCAAAAGAATTACGTAGAATTGATGGATTAAATCCAAAAAGTGGCCAATTTATATTAATAAAATTAATATAAATAAAACCAGAGGGGCCTGATAAATCAGGGGTGGTTTAATCCCTCTAAGGTATCGTGCAAAAAGCAGAGGATTTAGGTACCTGATACACTGGGGCCTGTAACAGGTGTGGTTTAAATCCCAGGAGATAATTTTAAGGGGAAAATCTTCAAGAAAGGGTTATTACTTACTAGTAATAATCCTAAGGGATCTTGAGGATCTTCTTAGTAGAAACTGGACAGTTGGGAGCGCTCAGAATGGTTGATTTTGGGTGCTGGGTGATCACTGGGGAGTTTCTTGAGGAATCTTGAGGCTTTAATAATAGCAAAAATAGTAGTAACTAGGCTAATTACAAGTGTAGGGGACTTGTAAATGGTAAGTAAATTTCTATAAGGTATTGTAAAGCTGGGGGATCATTATTTGGGCGGTCAGAAGGCCCTTTAAGTAACTGTGGAAGGCCTCAGGGGTTGCCCAGGGGAGCTTAGTGGGACTTGGGGGCGCTTTTTGGCCCATTTTGGCCCACATGGTGATGTAACCAGGGCTGGAACCTTGGGGATAATATTCCAGAAGCTCCAAGGGGCCATGCACGAAATTATTACAGCCAAGAATGTCACATGGGGACCTGTGGATAGGGGCTACTCTGTTACGTGGAGCAGGTTCCTTGGAAATGGGCCACAGAATATTCCAGAGGTGTCTTCTGAGGCTTGCTACACGTGTTACCCATTGGAATATGGTTACTGTAGTATTTTCATGGATATTCTAGCTTGTTTAAATTCTTATTACACGTGTGGGGGCTTTGTTGTCACGTGCAATGGGGATTCTGGGGCTTTTGTGGCCCAATCCTTGGATACTGGTGTGCAGCATGACTACGTGGCGCGTGGGCTTGGAGACAGGACTCCACACTGCTCTATCTTCTAAACCGTGCACAATACTCCAATTCTGAGACTGGATTTGGAGTATATGCATTAAGCATTATGCAGAAAAGTCACAGTACCCGTGATCTGGGGGTACCTGTTAATTATTCCTGCATGTATTACAGGGTGAAGGAGTTAGAATTTGGGGTACCTTTGGCTGAGGTACCCTAGGCTAAATTGTATTCTGATTCAGAATCTGCAGTAATATTTAAGGTTATGTTTATACTTTTTAAGTTATTCATTTATTTTTATGTATTTTTTATCTTATTTACATAAGTATTATTGTTTCTTTTACTTATGTAATATTTTTACTTTATACTTAGATTTTTTATGTAATTTATTATTTTATTTGCTATGACAGGTTGTCTCTGCCATAGTAGCAAGCTGACAAAAGCGCTGGCCAAGGCCAACGGCAAACGAGGACAAAAAGCTCTGCCATGTGGACTAGAGATGTCACTTCATACCCGGGTACCCACCTCAAAAATTCAATATTGTGGAAACCTGCACTGGGGAGGGTACCTGGGTGTTGAGCATTTTTTGTTGAAAATAAGCCCAGAAATCTCACCCTTGTATTGCTACATGACTAATTATATGACTGACATTGACTAGATATATGAGCAACATAGAAATGAATGAAAAATAAACAGTTCTATTGCACCTCATCTTCTCTGTCCTCCTCTGCCTCCTCCTCCTCTTCTTGGCTTCTTCCAATTCCTCTAACTCTCGTTCATTTTCTTTTTAAAGCTAAATTTGCATTGAGCCTTTCTCTCGCATGTTTCCTTCCTTCCTTGTTTTGTTCACTGATTCTTCTCCATCATCGTCACCACCATCACAAAAAACAACTAACCCACCAAAAAAACTTGTTCCCTCTTTCTTTCCAAAAACCTTCTTTCTTACTTCTACTCTTATTTTTTGTTTGTACAGTGCCTAGACAGTGAAAAGTGGCTGCCTATTTTGGATTCCAGAGCTCCAGAGAACAAATTTGAAATCATGAGACTTGGTCAGGTGGTGCATAATAGGTCCCAAAAAATGAATATGAAATAATAAAAGCAAAAAATAAAGTTTCAAAATTTGTGAAAAATAAAAAACAAAATTGATTTTTTTCAAAAGCTTTGATGTTCATTTTGGGGAGTGGGAGTGCTGAGAGGAAGAAAGCTTGGGAAATCAGAAGAATGATTATGAATGAAAATTTTAGAAAAACTGGTTTTCAGAGGGCTTCAAACAGCTGTTGAGTGGGGCATTCACCAGTCCACATTGCAGCAAAGCACTAGAATTTACTGTTTTGGCTCCAATCTGGACCACCAACCTGGCCAAACCTTTTTTGGTTCCAATTTTTTTCATTTATAATCATTCTTCCCATGTTCCATCCTTTCTTTCTCTCAGCACTCACACCCCCTCAAAATGAATATTAAAGCTTTTGAAAAAAATCAAGTTTATTTTTTATTTTTCACAAATTTTCAAACTTTATTTTTTGCTTTTATTATTTCATATTCATTTATTGTGAGCTATTATGCACCACCTGACCAAGTCTTATGACTTCAAGTTTGCGTTTCAGAGCTCTGGAATCCAAAATAAGCAGCCACTTTTCACTGTCTACCCACTGTACATTCATTTTTTTATTCCAATTCCTTCATGCATGACCACTCTTTTCCTCCTTTTTTTATATGTTCAAATCCCACGTATTTAATGATGAACTGTATCATTTGTACCACCACAGATTCCAGGTATTTTTTTCCTCAAAAGCTTTATGAATATGTGTATGTTTGTGGACCATTGATAAAACACTTGTATTCTTTTCTCTCATCATTAAAATACATCAGCTTTGCGTATGTAATCTCTTTCTTATTTCTCCTCAAGTCAATTGATGTTGATGAAAATTCTCTGGTGAACAAATTATCAGGGCCGGTGTAAGGTGGGTACCCGCCTGTTTTTTCACCTCAAATGTGAACAACTGCACCCACAACCAGCACCTGTTTCTGGGTAACTGCTTTGGAAAACAGGTACCTGCAAACAGGTGCCAGGTACCTGTCTCCGGGTACCCGCTGACATCTCTAATGTGGACACCTATCTTGTGGTTTGAAACGTGCAACTCATGCTGACTCCTATTCCAGTAGACCCGGCTCAGCCCCACCAGTTTTGCAACCCCCTGTTTTAGATGCCAAAATGCCATTCATCATCAAGGACTATGAAAATTTCTGTGGCTACCTAGAGGAGGAAGGGAACTACACCCAACTCTATGGTGATGGGTCCAAGACCAACATTGGGACCACCAAGGTGACCAAGGCCGCCGTGTATGACATATTTGCAATATATGTCAATGATAATTCAAACCATTGCCTCCACCTCACCAGCAGCCAGCTACACCAAAGAATTGATGGCTACAAGAAACATTTCTTGAAGGCCAAAGACTGGGAGGAAAATACTGACGCAGGGATTGAAAAAGGAGACAACTTAGCTACACTTGCCAAGCTCCTGGAGAAAAAGTGCCTGTGATACAAACTCCGGATGTACGGCATCTTTGGGGGGAAGGAAAATGTGTTCCCCTTGGCTCAGCATGACTTGGGGGTAGGAGCCAATCTATATCCCAATTTGCAAGTTCAGCCTCAGGACAAATCCCAGGAGGTTTTCTTTCCAGGGTGGGACAAAACCCAAGACAAACTCCCGCTGGACCCGATCAAGACTCCGGATCACCGGAACAATGAGGATGAACTGCCACCTCCCCTCAATCTCAGTGGAACTGCAATGGACGCTTCACCCTGTTTGATGACTCAGCGGTCTCTGGCTTGTACTGAAACCCCAGTGTCCCCATTGGGCACACCTGATACCGGTGGGGGAAACCCAGGCAATAGCTGCAGCATTGGCTGTCAGCCATTTGCCAACCAGCCATCATCCGAGGCAAGCCCATGGGTCCTCTTAGGTAAATTCAGCAACATAAGACTTCTCTGTCTTTGGCATTCAAAAGTTCCAATTCTGACAAGTTCTTGTACGCCAAGCAGCATATGGCTTGGGAGAAGGAGAAGGAAGACAATTGCCTCAAGTGGGAAAAGGAACGATTTGATAAAGAGATCACCAAGGCCAAAAATGGAGCGGCGGCCCACATGTGTCTTGCACAAACAAGGCTGGCAGCAGCTCAAGATTTGTTCAAAAACGGCACAACTGCATCCAAGTTTGGTGCACTTTTGAAGACAATCTATGGCCAATGTGGAACCACAAGGTCAGTAGGTTAAACATTTTTACTTGATTGTATACGGCTGCTGATGCGCATTGGCTCTTCCTTAACAGTTGATAATTTATTGGACGTGAATCCTTGGGGTGTGACCATTCTTTGGAAAGTTGTCCGGTTTTTCATCTAGCTTGCCAATTCTCCCTGCCTTCTCTGCTTATTCATTTATTATTCTATGGATCTAGCATGACTATTCTCCATTGGCTCTCTTCTTAGTCTTGCTTTCTCAAAAACACATTTTGTCTTTTTTGCCTTAAACAAGGCCGTCAATTATGAGTTAGATCCTACAACCAGCGGTGGGCTGCTATGCTACGCTTTTTTGCATCAAAAAAATGTAGTGTTAGCTTATTTTTAGGGGATGTTTGAAACGCTGCGCTACAGCGCTTTTAGCGGCAAAAGCGGCCAAAAACCGCTAAAAAGCACTGTAGCGCAGCATAGTGGGCCCTTTTTTGCGGCCCACACGCATAGCATTAGCAGTGTCATGGCTGAATTTGGCTAAACTACGCTTAAAGCTAACAGGAATTCCACTGTGTTACGCTACAATAACCGCTATGGTTAGTGTAGTGGCCCACCGTTGCTACAAGGTACGAAGAAAATTAAGACCATTGGAGGCATGACATACTTTGAAATGTTGTGCAGAAATCCCTGCACCTATCAAGACCACGAGCTCTGCCCCGATGAGGGACAATTGCAAGCCAAGTGTATTCCCCAGTGAGACATGTACAAGGCACTTGTGGGTGCCAAACAGGCCACATCTGTATTGGAATATAGACCTCACCCGGGGCTTCCCAGGTAGGCATGAGTGCTCAACCCACCCTTGCAAACAATCTGATCATGGCTGTTCAACCAACAAGACAAAAATTTGGATGGGATCAGGACGCAGTCAAAGGAGGCCTCACCAGTATTCAAATCCTGCTGATCTGGGTGACTGCTCAAGGTAACTATTCCCAATGGTTGGCAACAACAATTGACAGAGAAGATAATGAGAATTTTTGCTTGGAGAACCAGAATTTCTTGTGGATTCAAGTTCACATTGAACAAGACCCCAGAGGTATGATTACTGCCCTTCCACACACACAAGCCAGCTGATCAGACTCATGAGCCTTGATGGTCACCTTAGATATAAATTGGAAGGTCCAACTACTGCAAAGGTCTTACAAGTGCACTCATTAATTTGTCATGTATGCAACAGGCAATCATTGTAGTCAAGAGCCTATCATCTTTGGTGAGTTACATCTCATTCACCTTGCTCCTCATGAGTATTAAGACTTACATGCAATAATCATACGTTACTCAGGTTATGCCCAGCGGATTTGTCAGCCGCCATGATGCCAAGGAGTATCCCTTCTAGCTACACTTGGTGCAAAAATCAAGGTGTTAGAGTTAGAACTCTAGGACTAAAGAGTCCAATGATGAATGGTAATTACAAGGTTATGAGATAGTAGAAAGTAATCATTATATCAATAAATATTGATATAATTTAAAAAGAGGGGCCTGATAAATCAGGGGTAGTTCAATCCCTCAAAGGTATTGCACAAAAGCAGAGGATTTAGGTACCTAATAACACTGGGGCCTGGTTACAGGTGTGGTTTAAATCCCAGAAGAAAGTACTAAAAATCTCAAGAAAGAAGGGGGCATTATGTACTAATAAAGCCCCTTAAGTCTTGAGGTTCTGATAGACAGAGAATTAAAGCAAGAGACAATACATTACCAGAAAGATACAAATGTTAAGCATTTAGGACGGTGGGTAATCTAAAGTGGGTTGTTATAATCTGAGGAATCCTTATTTGGGGGGGCAGAGGGATCTTTATATACCCGTGGAGGCATCTGGGAGATCAGGGTCAACTTGTGGGTGCTTCATGCATGGAGGCTGAAACATGTGACCATGCCCTTGGAAATGTGCCACAGGTGTTCTGTAGAAGATGAAAGCTGAAACATGTGGCTATTTCCTTGGAAATGTGCCACACACGTGTTATCAATATACAAATGTATGTTTGAAACAGCAAATCAGTTTTAAGTCTTAAACCTGTTTATTAGCATATTTAATTATAAAAATAAGCATATTATTTACATAGGTGTACAACTGCAACCTTCAAATGGCCCAACCCAGCTTCTCAGTCTCTAAAACGTTCATCAGGCCCCCTTCCAGCTTACCACTAAACCCTAAACAAGCTCCCTCAGTACCTTAACCTTCTCACCAGGAAAACCCTAATCCAGCTACCCCAGCACCGCAACCAGCTCCCTCAGCACCGGAATCCTTGGCACCGCAATCAGCTCCCTCAGCACCAAAACCAGCTCCTTCAGCACCGCAACCAGCTCCTTCAGCACCACAACCAGCTCCTTCAGCACCGCAACCAGCTCCTTCAGCACCGCAACCAGCTCCTCAGCACTGCAACTAGCTCTGAAGGTAATAAACATCACATCTTTTCTCTTTCACCCTACCAAGACCAATCAATAATTAGTAAGCCTTTTCACATCAACTACTAAGGAGAAAGGTACTCAAACTGATGCATAATTACCTAGATTCTCATCCACCACCTTGCACATCATGGTTTCAACTCGATCAACCCCAAGAAACCCAACTCAATTGGAAAGAGGTGGCAGAAACCCAACTCAATCCGACAGAGGTGGCAGGAGAGGTGGCGGTCGCGGTGGCGGCCAAGTAGGCACTGCTTCAAGAAGAGGTGGATTGCGTAGAGATAATGGATCCGATTCCGATGATCAGAGCCTCGACCCAGACTGGACTAATTCTGGATTAACATTGGAAAACTATGAAAGCCAAATCGACAATTGGACAGAGAAGCAACTCCGCGAGGTCCTTGCAAGACGAAAAAACACTTCCAATAGGATGTCAACCGAGATTCAGGAGGCTCTCCAATTTCACAAGTTACATTACACCAAAATAAAGCTCATGTTAGCTTTGGTTGGTAATGTCACTTCACAGTTGGTTGACTCGTTTCAGTAAGCCATTTTGTTTTCCTCCGGATGGTTCTGATTGCTGATGATTAGAATACCTGTAGAGGGGAAGATCGACCAAGAAGACGCAAAAGCAACTGGAATTGCTATGTTGCATTCAGTCAAGAGAGTGCGGATACACCAGGTGTGTGTGATTTGAATTGTATTGCCTTTATTTGCTTGCTCTTACTTCATTCCATTATGTAGTTCCTCACAAGGGATCGACATTAGGGTGGGATGAGAGGAATGGCCACCTTGGGGAGGCTTGGAGGGCCTTGTCTCCAGATGAACAATCCGTATTCGATGCCAAGATATTCAGACATTTCTCTAAGATACCGATTCCTTTTGATGATGATCTGGATGAAGATGAGGAAGACGAAAATAATCAGGCTGCCGATCTCCTCACCCCTGATCAAGATGCCTTATTTCGCCCACTATACGAACGACTAGTCAATCATGTCAAGGTCAAGTTGGTGGCAGAAAAGTTTCCTCAAGTCAATTCAAACTCCAAAAGGGAGAAACAGGTGGTGAAGCATGTCAATAGGATCAACTTGGAGGTAAGTCCTCCAGGCATTATCATTTGTTAAATCATTACCAAGATGAATGACTGAAAACAATGTCCTGCCCAGCTTTTTACCATAGCCAACTCCTACAACTTGACTTTCTATCTGCTCACATCAACTCAATATGCTGGAAGCAGGAGCTTTTGCAAAGAACTGTCCAATGATCCAGTCTGGATTCATGTTGCTGAAGATCAATGGAACGCTTTTTCAACTTTTGAAGCCTATAGTCAAGGCAGAGCCATTCTAAGTGTTGTTGACGAAGGTCCGGACAAGAGAAAAAGAAAATATCGGACACTATTAGGACTAAGCTAAGA